GTAGGTGCTATTGCTATCCATTTTACAGATGAAGATACTGAGGCAAACAGTGGTTAAGTGACTTGCCTGAGGTCACACAGCTAGTGATAACAATGCCCGATATTCTATCTACTGTACCGCCTAGCTGCCCAAAACTAACCATTATGTTGGTATAAGCAAATTTAATATACTAACATACCTTGCTCAGCATAAGTTCACTTAATCGAATTCTAAACTTCAAGCCTTCATAAGGCAGCCTGATGTGATAGGAAGAATGTTAGACTAGAGACCTGAGTTCCAGTCATAGCTCTGTTTCTTACTCTCTGTGGTCTTGGTGAAGGTGCTGGACTTTTCTGAGACTCAGTTTCCTCATCTGTCCAATGGAGAAAACTCAACACTCTTTTTTTTAAGGGGCAGCTAGGTGGTGCAGTAGATAGAGTGCCAGGCCTGGAGCCAGAAGACTCATCCTCCTGAGTTCAAATCTGGCTTCAGACACTTATAACTGTGTGACCCTGGGCAAGTCACTTACTCCTGTTTGCCTCAGTTTCCTCATCTGTAAAATAATCTGGAGAAGGAAATGTTAAACCACTCCAGTACCTTTGCCAAGAAAATCCTAAATGGCATAAGAAAGAGTCAGACTGAACAACACCAAATCTTTTCTTAAAGCCCCAATGCTTTAGAATAACCATGGATAAAGTGATTTAACTACCCTCCCAAATCAATAAATTAATCAATCAGGATTTACTAAGATGCAAGCATCCCGTCCTGTTCTGAGGCCTCATTCTGGCATGGAGGTGACCCTGGGCTCTCAAAGGCTAAGCCAGTGAAACACAAACTTTGGCAATATCCTAACAAACTGAAGAGACTTTGAGCACAGGCCCAGGAATGGACTGTATCTCTGTCATTCAAAAACTAGGCTGAGTTTGAAGAGCTTCATCATCAGGTTTGCCAAAAAATGATCAGACTTTAGCCATAACAACTCACACAGTGCCTGCTACATTGTAGGTGCTCAATAAATGCTCCTTTAATCTAAGTTCCTTGAAGGCAATGACTGATTTTTGCCTGTGTGTTTGTATTCCCAGTGTCTACTACATTACCTGGCATGTAATAGGTATTGTAAAATGCTTGCTGATTCATTGGATTGGATTGAAAGTCATCTATTTAGGGAGAGAAGGGTGGTGCTCCATGGAGAGAGTACAAAAACAAGTGAACTAACATTAAATATTAAGCAATATATACGTTATATATGTCCTTTTAGTGTGAGCATAAAATAAGGCTGCTACTTATATAAATCATAAATATTTGGGGGGAACAAATTTTAAGTCAAATCATAGATAGCAAGCACAAAAGAACCACTGAATACCTCCTCAAAGAAGCTCTATTAATTCCAAAGACAACAGTAGTAGTAGTAATACTAGTAGTAGTAGTAGTGTTGTTGGTGGTGGTATCAATAACATTTATATAGAATTTTTAAGATTTGTAAAGTGTTTTCCACATATTATCTCATTTGATCTTCTCAACAAATCTGTGACATGTTATTGTCCCCCATTTTGTTGATGAGGAAACTGAAGGATGGAGAGGGTTTAGTGACTTGCCTAGAAGCACACAATTGGTAAGTATCTAAGGAAATATATGAACTCAGGACTTCTAGAATCAAAGATCATCACTGTACCTATTAAGCTATGTCTCTAAATGCCTTAAAGTAACATAGAACAACATGTATGGGGTAAAACACTCTTGAAATAGAGCAACTGATGGTTAGAAGTGAATTTCTCAGTCAGCTTCAGCCTTCTGCAGACAGCACTTCTCCATCACATTTTTCCAGATAGAACCCTGTACAACCTTAAAGAATATGGGTACCCTTCTTAAGTGACAGCTTCCCTGAACTGTGGATGGTGTGCAATTATATTCATCCACAAACAAAATCTGGATTATTTTGTGCTTTTTAATTATTTCTTGCAGTGGGAAAATGAAAGCGCTATCAGCAAACCCAAAAGACTTCAGTGAATGAAATCAGGAAGTAATAGTGTAATGCAATTAAGACCGGCAAGTGTGAGGAATATAAGGAAATATGGGGGGAAGGGACTTCTGTGAACAAACTCAGAGCTTGAATAAAACCTTATCAAACCAAAGGAATGAGTGTATTCTTTAAAAAAAAATAATAAATTTTCCTAATCATTTGTTTCTGCATCACCAACATTTCTCCTTGTATCACACCCTTACCTCTCCCAAAGATCCATCTCAGACAACAAATTATATTTTTTAAAAAAGGAAGATAAATCAATCAACAAAACTGATCATTACATCAAAAAGTCTCAAAATACATCCAATGTTGCCCTACTGAGGACAAAGGAGTAGGGTAAAGGTCCTCTCATATTTCTTCCTTGGGGAAAAAAATGGGTGAACTATTCTTGTTCTTAGTAATTTGGCAACATTCATATTTTGATTATTTTGTGCTGGTTGTTCTTTCTAAGAACAGAGTATATTCTAACAACTACATTAAGATGGAAATTGCATGGGAATGAACAGAAAAATAATCTTGATGAAGACTTACAAAAGGTGAAATATATGTGATGACATTTTATGGAATATACAGGATATATTTCATTTACTTAATTGTAAACATTATAGCAAAGCAAGTTGAAGTTATTGTATTAATGTTCAATATGGTTTATGATAAATAATTTAAAAAGAAAAATGGAATCAGGAAGCACAGGTATTGTGCTACATAGGGTAAATAATTTAATTTAAATACATCTAGGTGCTAAATTCATAGATAACAATAGGAATGAGGTGCTCATTTTTCAATTTATACTTATCTTGGGCAATCAAGACATACTTAGATAATTAGATTGCTCAATTGACTATCAGTAACCTCAGCCACTGAAATAAAGAATGTGATATATGCATTAACAGAATCATTTTTGCGATGTCTAATCATTTGAAAGGGTCTGATCACATGAAATGCAGTAGGAGTTGAAGAATAGTCAACACAAAGTGAAATGCATATTTATTCATGTGTGCCATGGGACTTTTTTATGATTTAGAAATCCTTGGAATTAGAGTACTAGGGATCTTTGAGGTAATCCAGTCCTATTCCCCTCATTTTATAAATGAGGAAACTGAGGGTCAGAAAAGTAATCTGTCCAATGTCACAAAGCAAGTTAGCAGCCAAGCGGGTACCAGAACCCCATCTTCTGACTTCCAGATCAATCCGTGGTCTTTCTGACCAAGGTCACAGAAGTATTCAAATCATTCTAAGTAGAATGTAAGCTTTTGAGGTCAGGAACCGCCTTTTCTTTTTAATTTGTTTCCTGAGGATCTAGCAGAGTGCCTTTGAATATAGTAGGCTCTTAATAAATTCTTAAAAGATTTAAATACTTTGCCAAGTATATAGCAATTTTAATGTATTTTTAAAAAAATTTAAAGCTTTAAGTATAAAAATGTCATGGCCTAAAAACCTTCAATTTTTTTTCCCTTCATCATACCCCATAGCATTGGGAAAATTGAAATGTCAGCATTATGAATCTTTATGATAAATAAAATATGTGTATATTATATAATAATACAAATTATTATAGATATAATTAGGTATGAATTATATGGCAGATTTCAAAGATAGGAGTGGTCATCTCATTTGGGTGTTTGCTTAGCTTTCTAAGAAATAGCGAGAGTTAAGAATCTGAAGTTTTTGATACGGAAAGAACACCATACCAAATGAAGATATCTTCTGGGTTCAAAAGCAGAAATCCCTAAAGATGCCAAGGCCAATTTCCTCAGCAATCACTGCATATCAATCAGGCAATGATATTTCTAGGCCAGTGGCTCTGTGAAACTTAACTGTTCTTGAAACTTAAATGAATTTCCAGTTACAAGTACTGATATGAAGAGGGAAAAACTTCTCATAATCTCAGTTTTCTAATTTGCAAAGTTTGTAAAGCACTTTAAAAATATTATTCCATTTGATCCTCACAACCCTGGGAGGTAGGTGCTATAATTATTCCCATAGAGTAAAGTTTTATGGGAATAATAATGCAATATTATGATGAAGAAACTGAGGCAGACAGGTTAAATGACTTGCCCAAGGTCACATAGCTGGTAAGTATCTGAGGCTGGATTTGAACTCAGGTCTTCCTGACTCCAGATGCAGAGCACTATTTGCCTCAAGGGGCTGTTATGAGGACCAAAGGAAAAAAATCTTTTTGAAAGTGTTTGACTGAAACCTAGTAGAAGACTATTACATTAGCAAATCTCCCTCATTAGTTTTGTTGTTGTTGTTGTTTACTTTCAGTAGCATGGAGAGAAGACAAGCCTCAACTTAAGCCCTGCCTGGATTCTTCACTTGAGACATACATGTACCTAGTTTCAATGGATAATTGCTAAGCTGTAAATGTGGATAACTAAGCTGTACTTACATTCCTTTGAAACTTAAAGGACAAAAATGAAGAAACTTCCATCCATAGCTCTACCTGGCTCCCACTCCTCCAAAAAAGGCACCCCTTGCTTTCCTCCCCCAACCCCAGCTTTTCACCTGCCTTTTGTGCATGTCTTTCCCCATCAGATTTTAAACTCTTTGAGGGAAGAAACTGTCTCTTTTTCTTTATGTATCCCCAATACTTAGTACAGTGCCTGACACAATAAATGTTTATTAAATTGAACTGAATTGAAAAACGCCTATGACCTACCAGTAGAATCCCTGCCAGATTCTAGCCAGGACCCCCGCTGAAATTCTATAGCCAATATTACATCATGCAAAATACTACTCAGTCTCAGATTCAAGGTCTAGAAGGAAGAGGGGAAGTGGGAGAGAAAGGGATCAGGACATTTTTCTCTGTGAACAAAACACTAGCCCTTCCTCCAGCCCAAGGACTAAAGAACCTTATGCATTAATGCCCCAATACAGTGATAGATACAATGAGTGAGATAGTCCCATCTACTACAAATGAATTGTGTTCAAAGTATTAGAAGTTCTTGACATTTTGGATATAATTAGAAATAAAAATCAAAATAAAGTTGCTTACCAAGGCTGAATTCCAACTTAGGCTCATTTGCACTCTTCTGAATACCTACAAATAAAAGATGTTAATAAGTTCATCAAAAAGATATAATTCCTCATTTTGTGTCTACTTTAACTCAAAGAATTATGTAGTAGTAGTGGCGGTGGTGGTGGTAGTGGTAGTAGTGGTGGTGGTAAGTAGTAGTAATGACATTTATATAGTCCTTTAAGGTTTACAAAATACTTGTATAAATATCTTATTTGATCTTCATACTAGCCCTGTATGGAAGGTGCTATTATTACCCCCTTTGAAGAGATGAGGAGACTGAGACAAATACAGACTGAGGGACTTTCCCAGGGTCACACAGCTAGTCTGAAGCAAGATTCCAATCCAAGTCTCCCTAACTCCAAGCCCAGGTCTCTACTCCTTATATCACACTCCCTCTACCTCATTTTCATTTGTCTACAAGATGTAAAGTAAACCCACACACTGGCAACGATAATCTTTTAGGAACAAATGAGTCCAATGTATTTATTCTGCAAAGATCTAGCAACCCAGACCTGCCAATGCCTACTTTTCCACTTGACAGACACATCAAGTCACGGAAAATTGGACTGGCCACTTCTTCCAGCAATGTCTGAAATTTCTACAGAGAACTGATAATGTAACTGACCCATCAAGGAATTGCTGTTTTATCAATACTCCCTATACCAGTAATAGTTCCTTTATATCTTTGTAGATGATCACCTTTATCAGTGGTAGCCAAAGAATGTCATGACATTATGGCTGACCTTTTTTTGCTGATAAACTTCTCCGATAGCAATAGCTAGTCTTTATGTATTAATTTAAGGTTTAAAAAGTGCTTCATAAATTTCCCATTTTATTTTCACAATTATTATTCCCATTCTGCAGATGGGGAAACTGAGGCAGGCAGCAGTTAAGTGACTCTCCCAATGTCACACCACTGGTGAGTATTTTCTGTTGGACTTGAACTCAGATCTTTCTGTCCCCATGTTTAGCACTTTATCTCCTGTGCCATCTAGATGCCTTTCCATATAAAGGGATTTTTCCAGTCACCTTGGAAGGTTTTTTGTTTGTTTTGAACTGTTTTCCAGATAACCAAAGCATTATTACAAGACACTATTTACTTCTCAGATGGGGTTGAATTTTTATTGATTAGATTGCATAGATTATTTAGGGGGAGGGTAGGAAACTGAGTATTCATTATGGGAAGAGACTAAAAATATTGGGTGACTCATGGGTAAAGGGAATGAGTACATAGTGTCATGGAAATATTGCTGGAACTGGAGTCAGAGAAGCTGAGTTTAAATTCAGGCTTCACCTCCTTCCTGAGGCTAGTGTGACCTGGGGCAACTCATTTAATTCCTCTGGGCCTCAGTTTATTTATCTGTAAAATCAGAGGTTGAACTAGATGCCTGGCTTCAAAGATCCCTAAAGATCTAACGTGATGGTTCCTGGACAGTCATGATAGTAATAGGGAATGAAGAACAAGTTAAAGCATTCAATCTGGACTCTAAAGCTCTGTATTCAAATCCTTCCTCAATTACACATCACTTGTGTGATGTGACCTTGGCAAGTCACTTATTCTGTGCCTTAGTTTCTTCATCTGTAAAACGTGACAGTTGCACTAAATCTTATGATCCCACAATTCTATAATCTATATGGTCAGTTACTATTCCTTTAAAGAAACAAACACTGATGTGGATAAATGAACTTATCCATCAGATTGGTTTCTAATGATCCATTTTCTTTTAACTTCATGGAGGAAAAACAATGTGACCAGATATAGTCAGAAACATTTCTATATTGTTAACAACAACAAATCCGATTTGCTATTTAAAGGAGTTAAAACGTGTCATGGTGTTACCATTTTTTAGTAAAATTCCAATATAAACATGGACAAACTAGCAATGCCAATACAAGGTGCTTTGTGTGAACTCAAATCATCAGAATTTTTCCAAAGCTTATTATAATGTCTCTATTAACTCTGCTTTAAGCCCTGACAACTCTATTCACAAAAATGAATCCAAAGACCTATGGCTGATGTAAACTGAATATTTGGACATCCATTTGTCAGTGCCAAATGATAAAGCAATAGAAATCTTCAGGATTTTTTTTTAAGAATAATACAATTCATACTCAAAGAGTGTAACTCAAGACCCTGGTATCTTAAGCATGAGAGAAACACTCTGTTCTCCAAAATATACTAATTACTTGTATAATAAAGAGAACAATTCTAGGGCTCAGATGGTAAGCTGGGCCAAACCTCTAAGCCTGGCAGGCCTATTTATAGCTCTGTGGTGCTTTATGCTGGGCTCCAGGTGCAGTCTAAAGGTTCAGATACTGTTGTGTTTCAGATACTTTTAAATTAATTGACTTTAGATTTTTAAAAAGAAGAAAACCTTGAAGGAAACAGAACTAAAATAATAATGTACACACTGCCTGCAGCTATGTAATGTAGACAACGTTAATCAGCAGCAAAACTCAGGTCAAATACAATGGAGAGCATTGGTACTAATATGTTAAAGTGAAAGCAGACAGCTTTACTTTCTTTGAACAAATATTAAGTTGTGAAAAGCCAGGGTGGCACAAACTATCTATTATAAATACTTTTTTAGGCCAGTAGTGTTAAAACTGAAATAGAAATGGAATCACTAAACAATATATTAGGAACCCAAATTATTGATTTAGAAAATCACAAATTAACATCATCTATGTTTTATTACATTTTTAATTTATTTTGGTAAATATTTCCAAGTTATTTTTAATCTGGTTCTGGCACACTAGGGAGTATCAAGGACCACGCTGGCCTGTGTTTCACAGTTCTGTTTTAGGTTATATTGTTCAGAGCCCTGACCAGCAATTTTGTCCACCTACTCCACTGCAGGGTAGGTGGCACCAAATGTGCCTGGGCTAAGCATCAGAAAATGCACCCTCTCACTTAAATCCAATTCACTTGCACGTCACGGCATCACCTCCCTGATGTCACAGTCCTCTTAAAGAAGGAAGGACAAGAACAACAACAATCTTGGTCTCAAAAGAGAAATTCAGTATGAGAGAGCAAAGAACCTTTGACACCATCCTCTGTAGGAGGCTACCTTCCTGAAGGTAGGATGGGGTAAAGGCATGGAGGAAGTCACGTTAGGGCATGACCACAGCGTGAGTGAGGCAAAGACCGGACCAAGTTAATGTGCTATTTGGTGTCTTCCTACTTTAATCATTCTTGTCAAGCACTCATCTTGGCTGCTTGTGGTTGCAGAGTGGGGGGTAAAGACTACCAATAACCTGTGAAAGTCAGTGAAAGCTCTAGTTACAGTTCTAGTTTCCATTTACTCTTTTTGGAACTATAACTTGTGAGTGACTTGCATGGGTAGTTGTTTAGATTTGTCTATCTAAAAATAAATTTTATCAACAATATTTTAAATTGCTAAGTGGCCAGTGGATAGGCACAGTTTTTTTTTTTTAGTGGAAGATTTGTAAACTCTAAGAAATCATGTAAACCTTTGCTTTAAATCCTTAGAAGTGAAAAACAAATTAAAACCAACCTGAATTTTATTGAAAGAGTCAATGTGGAAGGGACTGCCGGAGGACAGGGATACTTATTCACTGCAGGTGGAGCTATTACTTGGCAGTATGGGTTCTGGAGAGCAGTAGAACTCCTATGCATTCTAATGACCAATCTGATTTTCAGAAACCTGATGAAGGAATACCTCTCCCTGTTGGAGAGTCTAGGTCTCTGTCAGGTCTACATGAATGTTTTTCTCCATTATAAGGATGTATTCAATTAGAGGGGATAGTCATAGGGGAAATGAGTCTGATATAAAAACAAAGGGCATGAACAAACTTCTTAAAAGAAAACAAATAAAAATAATTGCCAAGTTAAAAGCAATGACATTTTGAAAGAGACTGAATAAGTGCTAACCAAGAGACAGAATAAAAAAGAAATTATGTACCAGTTTGAAGTTGTTTCCTTTCTTTCTTTTCCTCTTTGCTGTCTGTGCAGGCAAACAAAACTTTATTATGTGACCATGCCCCACCTAACTAGGGATCATCCAACTGCTTGGGTAGGCAATTTTAGCATGAGGAAAGATGAAAGGAGAGTTTGAAGATTATAAGGAGGGATTGTGAATATTATGTGAGTCATAAGAAAAAGGACCTATATCCTATACATGGGGTTTTGGTAGTAGTGGTGGTTTTTGGTTGCTTGTTTCTTTTTGTTATGGTCCTAGTATTTCCCTCTACTCGTTATACCACTTTAGTTCTCACCATACATGAAAGCAGGTAGTTAATTCAAAAGTTCCAAGTACAGTACCCTGCATTCCACCTTAATTGTATAAATGGGGGTGTCCATTTTTTTCCACTAGAGTATGAGAAAAACAAAGTCTTACATCTATACAGTTGGTCACAGGATAAACAATTCATTAATTGGTCATTAAACTAATAATAAAAGAATATAAGAAAAAACTAACTATATAATAGGATTCATTGATTCTCTGTCTCTGCTTTTGTCTGAATTCAGTCATTTCAATAGCAAAAGCAATAGTGAGGCCAGTCAATATACTTACTTGTGAACTGGAGTTCTCGCAGATCATTTGCCTGGGCTGTTTGAAGAAAATGCTGCCCTTCCTCTGCTGTTTTTTCCTCCTTGATTTCCATGGCCAACCGTCTCAGGGATGTATTTCTATTTCTTTAAGTTTCCAAGTTTCACAGACCAAGTGAAAGTGCCCAGGATTTCCAGATTAGCGTTGCTGGGGTCTCTGGGTACAGATGCGGGCCTCCTCAATGATGATCTGCACTGAGAACATGATAACACTCAGTGAGGATACCAGATGCTTCCCAGCCTGTTGCAGAGCACGCATGGGGTTGGATGCTGTAGGTGGCATCTACCCTCATGAGCCTGTGTTCCCCGTCACAGTGTCCCACCCACCAACCCAACAGTCTTGCACAATCCAGTGCCTTTCGCTGCTGATAAAATACGTGGCAACGTTCAGTTCAATCTCTCTAGCTGCTCCCCAAGCAATTAACATGTTGCAAAACTAGAGAGCGGAATTATCAAAACTGAAATGTGAAATCCTTTTCCTATAGCACCGATGCTACAGTTCAGCAGGCAGCTATCACGGCTGCTAACTTAAACATGAATTCGATTTAGCAGTAACCCCAGACAGCAGCCTGACAAAGGGACCAGTGGGATTCACTGAGGTGAGTGTGTCTATCATTCCTTCTATTAGAACTGTCCTTTATGCTCAGGTTCTCATCTCTCCTTGCCGGAGCACTGCTCATCAAGGTGCAGAGATAATTTACTGTGACGTTGCTCCTCCGTGGGGAACCAGCAGGTTATATGTGGGAGCTTCTGACCCCCTTATCAACCACAGGGTCTGGTGCTCCTCTGCTAGTCCTACTGTTTGACAATCAGCCTTTAGAGTCAAGAAGACTACAAATATACATAGATGCACATATGAATATACATTCACATATGCACGTGTATACATGTGAATGTATATATGCGTAACTGTGTAAAAGCGGTTAAATACATAAATATTTACACACTTATGTGTGTACATACATATTCATTTATATGTTCATACCATTAGATTATAGGCTCCTTGAGAGTAAGGACTGTCTTTTGCTTCTTTCTGTATCTCCAACACTTAGTATGGTACCTGGCATATAGGTACTTAATACATGTTTGTTTGCTTCATTGATTGATATAAATAAATATATGTAAAGGTAGAACTCCTAAGGAGATACAAGTAGAATCAAAATCTAATGCTTTTGAGTAGTATTAGCACAGGATAGAAAATTCCAGACATTCCAGATCCTAAGAGAAATTCAGCTTCACTAGTTATGAATTCATTCTGACATGTAGTACAGTATACATAAACAAGAAAGAACTAGGGGGAAAAAATCAATGTTGTTTTAAAAGAAGTTAGCAATTGAACTGAAATACACAAAAATCTTTAAATACTCCCTCTCCCACTTTCCTTTTTAACTCAGTGGGCAGGAGTCTGACTTCATTTTTAATATGGATAGGATTTCGATCATAACAAATCATCAGCATCATTCCTCATTGTCTTTAACAAGGAGACCTTCAGATGGAGTTGAATCATAATTTTTTTTAAGTTCACTTGGGACAAATTAAATCCAGAAAACACTTAAAACTCCAACCAATAATGTAATCAAATTGGAGATCAATATATGTTTTGAGTTGATGCAAGAATAGTTTCTAAGGGAGAGGGCAGTTCTACCACCAGCTAAAGAAATCATGAACTTGAGTAGAAAATCAGTGTTTCTTGTTGTTGCTGTTTTTTTTTGTTGTTGTTGTTTGTTTTGTTTTGTTTTTTTTAACCTTTAGGCACTTATCCATTGCCTCTGAGAAGAGCAGGAAATAAAAGTAGTGAGCAACATTCTCCCAAAAGCCTATAGAAGGCCATGTGGTACAGCAGAAAAAGTGTTGGACTTAAGAGTTAGAAAACGTGAGTGTGAATCTGGATTCTCATACTTAGGAGCTGTATGTCCTTGGTCAAATAACATAACCTTTCTGGGCCTCAGTTTCCTCATGTGGAAAATGAGGATGTTGGACTAGCACTGTGTTCAGTAGGCAATTATTAAAGGTTTGCGAAATGGAACTGAATTAACTGGATGATCACAAGGATAGGTCTAACAATGCAGTGCTTCATTGGTATATTCCTTCATGTGCCAAATATTTATTAAACATCAGTAGATGCTAGGTATAAGTCATTGTGATGATATACAGCACACAAGGATATATCATACCAACTTTTGTAATCAAAAAGCTTACAAAGGAGGAAACTATATTTACACAAATTATTTATATATAAGCAAACTCCTACTCAGTAAAGTGTTGTGCTTATTTCTTGGGGTGTGCAGGGGTGTGGAGGTTGAAAGCAGCATTCACACAGAACTGTAAAAATGGCCATACTCCCATTTTCACAGATATAACTAAACAATAAAACACTGCTTTGTTCCAAAAGACGTGATCTCTTCTCTGTAGAAGAGGACATTCAACAGCATAAAGCCAATGGCACAAAACCAAGAGAAAAGAGTTATTGCTTGGCATTCTTAAGAAAAAAAATTCCACAGCATGCCTCCGATGAATTGCAGGAAAAGAACAAAATCCTTTAAGCCAACACTTGACATATTTACTGAAAGCTAAGCAAGTGCTCTCTAGCTTTGTGTTGATGCTATTTTGTGACTGCTCAGTAGGACAGCAAGTCTTACAAATAAGTAAAAGAATTTACCAAAACAGAGAAATACATTTTCTCCAATGCTTCTTTCTCTTATAGAAGGTACACCAGTTAAGAGGGAAGAACACAAAGTAAAATTGGCTTCTACCTAACCTTACATATATAACCCTTGGTCCGTTGATGGTTAAGGAAAAATTCAGCTTCCTGGAAACATTTGACTAACAAAATAGGAGATTATAGTATAGTGTCTGTGGATAGACAGATATTAGGAGGGGAAGTTGAAGAAAGAGCTGGACTTATCTTAGGACTTGCCTCAGCCTACCCAGTGATTTCCTTGACATCTTCAAATGCTGACACAGCTCAGTCCTCCCTTTGGTTGGAATTTCCTTTTCCCCAATTTGGCTAATTTTCTCCCCTTTATGCAAATTGCTTAAGGAGTGGCTCCTCCTCACACAATGGTTTTGATTGTTTCAAATTGGTGTACTGGCCAGTTCATACTCAGTTCTGATTGATTAAATCAGTCCAAAAGTACTCTCATCTAGGCAAGGCACTAGAGTTCAATTCTGGTAGTTTCAGCCCCACCTCTAGATTCTTTTAAGATAAAGAACAAGAAACAGAACTCTATTAAATAAATAAAATACGCTACTGAGAAAATACATTTGTTTTACCATGGCTAATTAAGATAAAGAGATAGAAGGGTAAAGAAGAAAAGGAAAGGAAAAAATGTAAAGAGGGGAGCTGACAAAGCCCAAATCAGACTATTCCTGTCCAGAGGTTGGAGACATTCCAAGATGCCAAATCATTTAAGGGAAATCTTGAAGGAAGTCAGCTGCCCAAAGTCAAGGCATGTATAGGCAGTTTCTAGGTTATCAGCAAAATCCATTAGGAGGTGAAATATCTCAGAAATCCTTGCCCTTTCCAGGAAAATTGACTTTCACCACAAAATTGTTACACAAAATTCTATACTGTTCTCCATCATGTTCTGCAACCACTAGTGGTGGAGCTGAGAGAGAGGATGGTGGAATGGTGGTCCATGGAAGGACTTACCTGGGCCAAGAGGAGGGCTGTCTGCCACCTACCTATTTTAATTAATCATTCTTGCCAACTAGGTACTATGCTCAGTCATTTCTGTAACACTGCAGGGGTATAAGTTGCTCTAAATTTCATGATTCCACCCTAATAATAGCTTTGCTCCCAGTTGAAAAAAAAAAAAAAGATACCAGTGGCCACAATCTTGTTCTGAATTTACGTCATATAAATGGCTCTCAGGAAACATCCTCAGTTCACATGGGCAGTTTTATTAAAAATAAATGAATAAATAAAAGTAGCTAGATCACCTAGCATGGTAAAAGAACAGTAGACTTTAAGTTAGACTTACTAGGCCTGAATCTTGTCTCTGTCTCCTATCCAGATAAGCATGGAATAGTCATTCAACATGTCAGCTAGGTGGCACAGTGGATAGGGCACTGGCCTTGCTATCAAGAAGATTCATTTTCACGAGTTCAAATCCTGCCTCAGACTCTTACTTACTAGCTGTGTGACCTTAGGCTAGTCACTTAACTCCATTTGCCTCAGTTTCCTCATCTATGATCTCTTCTATTCCTCCTCCACTAGCTAGAGAAGGAAATGACAAACTACTCTAGCTTCTTTGCCAAGAAAACCCCAAAAGGGATCATGAAGAGTCAGAGATGGATTTTTTTAAAAACCACTCTGTGCATAACATATATACTTATTTAGGGCAGCTAGATAGCACAGTGGATAGAGTTAAAATCTAGCCTCAGACACTTGGTAGCTATGTGACCCCGGGCAAGTTACTTAACCCTGTTTACCTCAGCTTGTGTTATTCAGTCATTTTTCACTCATGTAGTCTCAGTTTCCTCATATGTAAAATGAGCTGGAGAAGGAAATGGTAAACCACTCCAGTATCTTTGCCAAGAAAACCCCAAATGGGGTCATGAAGAGTTGGGACAGGACTGAAATGACCAAATAACAAAAAAAAAAAAATCAATTTCCTCATCTGTAGAATAAGGGTAATGATACTTGTCCGGAGTTATTGTGAGGAAAATGCTTTATAGATTTTAAAGCACTATAGAAATGAGAGCTATTGTTATTATCTAGGGATGGATATGGTTAGCTTACTTTTTTAATTTAAATTTTATCTTTTATTTTGAACATAATCATCACACAAAGAGTGAGGCAGTGACGTGGCACAGTGCTAGACCTGGACTCAGGGAGACCTAAATTCAACTGTAGCCTCAGACACTTACCAGCTGTGTGACCAAGTCACAACCTCTGAAAGCTTCAGTTTCCTCCCTTATAAAATGAGAAAAATTATAATAGCACCTACCTCCCAGATTGTGATGATGAAATAATATTTGTAAAGAGCTTTGCAAATCTTAAAGCTCTATAAACATTTCAGTACACAAAGCATAACAAATAAAGAGGATGGTATATGATACTGTAAATTTTCTATAAATGTGTAGTTTTTAAAGATTTATATTAAATTAACCACAATAGTAAACACAAAAACAGTGCTTTCTTTGGGTCCCTTTCTGGACTCATTTTTATTTTCATTCCTGTACTTCTTAAA